TAGATAAGATCTGATCAGATCCTCACTGTGAAACTACAAGTAGATAAGATCATGACAGGTCACAAAGCAGATGTCTTAACACCGAAGAAATGCTCCATAGCAGGAAGACCTGTGGAATGAAGAAGTGGTGGAGTTTTACGTGTGATCTGGGAAGTGTCTCCACATCTCAGAGTTTCCTGAAGCTCTAGTTGAGCGTGGGAGTAATCTTTGAAAAGCTTTTAAATCCAAATGACCTTTGACCTGCAGGGTGAGAGATCGCCCATAAAGTGTAATCCACACAGATGGACTGAGCTTTAACATGAAATAATCTCTTTCCGCTCTCATCCCTCTCTCTTATTATCAGGATATGCAGTGACAATCGGACCCAAAAGATCCTGAGTAATTCTACTCGCAAATGTCTCCTATAAAGCACAACAAAGCAGACCAAACACACGAGACCTGACCGCAAGTAATGGACAGTTTCTCAAGGGAAAGGCACATGTCTTCAATTACTGTCTGTAGGGTCAGCAAACTCCAAAACGGCCGATGCACCTTGACTTTAATATATATATATATATATATGTTTAGAGCAGAGTTCCCTGAATGAGAAACAAAGAGCAGAGGAGTCGAGATAGAAGTGCAAATCTGAATCAAATAAAAATCACATAAGAATGCATAATTCATATAATAATAAAAAATTCATTATTCATGAAATTCATTATTCTATAGATGAGTGAATCTAATTAAAACATGTCAGTCATATTTAACTTTACATTAAAAAAGAACAATATTACATAATTAAGGTTTTTGCTACATGCTAAAAATACTGAAAGTTAAATAAGTTTAAAAAATTTAAATTTGCCAAAAATTTTGAAAAAATAAAATATGGAAATTTGCACCATGATTTTACCTAAAACATGTCAGTCATATTTAACTTAAAATAAAAAAAAGAACAATATTACGTAATTAAAGTTTTTGCTACATGCTAAAAATACTGAAAATAAAATAAGTTTTAAAAAAATGCAAATTTGCACCATGATTCTAATTAAAACATGTCAGTCATATTTAACCTTAAATTAAAAAAAGAATATTTCATAATTGAAGTTTTTGCTACATGCCAAACATTCAGAATAAAATAAAATAAGGATATTTGCACCATGATTCTGTGAATATTTTGTTCAAATTCATAATTGAGAGAAACAAAAATTACAAGAAAAAACAAGGGAAGCAAACAATAAATAAAATAAAATCGGGATCAGATGATGTGTGACGTGTGAATGAGAATCTTGTTCATGTGAATTCATAATTGAGAGAAACAAAAACTACAAAAAGCAAACAAACAAATATAAAATCTGGATCAGATGATTCAATGAGAATCATTCATAATTGAGAGACAAACAAACAAATAACCAGATGACCAACATAATTCAATGAGAAACTTGTTCAAATTCACAAGGCATGGTTTCTAAAGTTAAAAATTTGAGAGTGAAATTAAAGCTAGTGCACATATTTAAAACACACAGGTGACACTGAAATCCAACACGCAGGTTCTTTGGATTTTACAGCGTTACAAAGATGACAACTTCATATCAAACAGAAACGACAGAAAGAATGCAAAGCACAGCACTGGATGATGGCTTTTACACTACGGACCCTGAGAAAGAAAGCGATAAAGATGCACACTACAGAAGTGAGGAACACGCCATACAGAACAGGCTCCAAACAGCACATTTCTGTGCCTCAACAAATGATCTGTGCTCCATTACATTCATTCACAGCAAATGAAGGCAAAACAATCAAAATATGTGCTCTTCGCCATCATGCTTTGAGGGCTCTGCTCTAATGGGGCTGGACATTCCTTCTCTTCAGGACTGTGGGTAATGTGGCCCATTATTGTCAGGAAAATGAGTCTGGCTCATGTTTACACAAGCGGACGGACAGACAATCTTGTTTTCCCTCACAAGAGCAATATGATGGCACAGATTCATCTTACAATTCACTTTAGAGAACATATTATTGAAAACAGGATTTTTCCTGCTTTTTTGTAGCAAAAGAGTTCAGTATAACTGAATCTACGCTGCAAAAACCTAAAAATGTCACTGTTATTACATTATAACCATGACGACCTTCACATATGACTGCATAATAAACAAAACACTGAAGTTAGCCAACCAGGTCATTTACATAAGTCCAGTAGCAAAAAGGTTGTTTAATTCTGATTCTTACAGCAGATGGAAAGCACTTGTGAAAAACTAAATTGATGAATTTAGAAGTGTGTGAATTTGAAGTGTGTGTGTGTGTGTGTGTGTGTGTGTGTGTATAATTAGTATTAAAATAATTATACTACAAAATTAGCATATTTTCTCAAATAAAATACATTATTTTTTATTAAAAATAAATCTAAAGTCTTTTTGTTAAAAGAATAGCAATACAGTTATTAAAATAAACATTTAAATAATTGTTAAATATTGTCGTTTATTAAAATATAATATTTATATTAAAATAAATTATTAAATTATTAAAATAAAATTATTAAAATTTTTATTAAATTATTAAAATATTTATTAAATTATTAAAATAAAACAATTATTTAGATAATTCTTGAATAAGTTCTTAATATAACAAAATATAACATTTTTTATTTAAAAAAACATACTGTAATTACTAAAATAAAAAAATAGATATATATTTTTAAATAATGACTTATAAAAATAAAATAAAATACAATTATTAAAATAAAATTTAGATACAATTTTGCATAACATCTTAAAGTAAAATAAAAAAATAAAATCATTAAAATAAAATAATTATTTACATAATTCTTAAATAAGGTATTTTCATAAAATAAAATAATAAGAAAACACATTTACGTCATCCCCAACATTGCGTAGTCAGCTACTTTTTATTAGCTTGCAATGAACTTTTTCAAAAGGGTAGCTTGACTGATGTTTAACTACTTAAAATGAGCTTCCCCAACACTGGGGAGCAGTGGAAAGTTTTGAATGAAAAGCTAGCGGAAAATGGTGAGAGAGACCCAGAGAGAAGGAATGACTGAAAGAGAGAGAGTAAAAAACTTGCATAAGTATGTGAGCTTTGAAGGCCTAGAATTATACATCTCTAATTATTTCCAGGAATCTAAAGCCCTCAGCCAGTCTGAGTCATAAAGAACCTGGCAACACGCCGCACGCGCAAAAGCCACGCACAACCCATTCATAACCCTGCATTCACTCCCACCACACAAAGACACCTCAGAGCTCTGCGTGCCGCCAGATGCGTGACTTTGACTACACAGGAACTCAAAGCATAAGAAGAGCCCGAAGTTCATTTGAAACACACAAACACACACAATTCATGGTTGCTGCTGTATCTTCTGGTGGTTTTAACCACTGTTAACCAGCCTGGTTAAATCTGTCACATCAACTTAGATTTAGCTTTTGGCTTGAAGCTTGTAGAATTAAACAATTACTGCCATATGACTGAAACTGGTACAACTAGTTCAATTAGTAACTTCTCGTGATGTCACCACTATGCCATGTTAAGTTTCATTGAGCAACACAGGGTGAAATGTTTCGCTGGAACCTTTTGATTACACCAATTAGAATTACATCAGAGCTAGTCTCCGTCAGACAGTCCATTCACTGATCTGATTCATGCTGCACAAAAATGGCTGAAATCCCCAGTTCCATTCTGACAACTAGCTTTGCGCAACTCACAACAAACAAAGTCTTGTTGATAGAATGAGCTTGAGGAACAACTAATCCTCTGATCACAAAATCTCTAAAACGTTTCTGCAAATTTACAGAACCACAGACATTATTTGTATTTTCCACAATGCGTTTTTTTTTCTCCATGATGGAGTGATTCTCACAAAGCCTGACAACAAATGATTGGGTCATATTTAACCTCAAGATCATAAGAAAAAAATATAGAAATATATGAATATTTTGTAAATAGAAAATGAAGCATACTTGTCTGTAAGTTTTTTTTTTATGCTTTTGTAAAAAGTATTTTATGCTCTCAAAGCCTGCCTTTATTTGATCAAAACACAGTAATAGTGCGAAATATTATTACAATTAAAACTTTATAATATATATTAAAATGTACAATCCTTCAGAAATCATTCTGATATACTGTATTTATTTCCGCTCAAGAAATATTTCAATGTTGAAAACAGTCGTGCTGCTTAATATTTTTATGGAAACAGTAATATATATATATATGTGTGTGTGTGTGTGTGTGTGTGTGTGTGTGTATGTAAGTATGTGTATGTATGTATGTATGTATGTATGTATATACATATATATTTTTTTTTTGATGAATAGAGAAAATTTATTTCAAATATAAATCTTTTTAACATTATAAATATCTTAACTGTCACTTTTGATCAATTTAATGCATTCTTGCATAATAAAAGTGTTAATTTCTTTTAAAAAAGTATATTTTAATAATAAATATAGGGAAGCGAAAAAAACAACAATATTTTTTTTTTAATATATTTTCAGACATATTTTATACCCTAATTCTCTTTATCATTGTGTGTCCAGGAATTTTACTTTTACTATTCCAATTATTTTCAATTACGATTCTCCTTATGTAAAATAAAAAAAGAAATTTTTATGCCATACAAAGTCAAGAGTTACGTAGTACAAAAAAACTATTCATGCCGTAAAAAAAATAAATACTTTCAAAAGTATTTCCTAAAATTACGGTAATGACAATGATAATGAAAATATGCTTAACTGTCATGACAATAATATCACAATTCGAAATATATTATAAATTGGCTTCATTTTGTTTATGCAAAATATATTTTTTGTAAAACATGACTGGAACATTTTCTTGAGAGGTTTCCTTTGATTCTGTTTATTATTGTGGTATCAGTTGTTTTACATGTGTGAAAACAGATGATTTATGGCCATAATAATCTACAGTGTGTAGACTTCAGTGATAGTAAGAAAATCAGGCTATATAATACAACATCACCTCCGAGAACATACAAGTAACTCAGTATCAGTACTCACCATCCATGGCCTGTTTGAGCGCTTGCAGTTTCTTATGCTTCTCTCTGATGCGGTCGTAAGCGTTGTTGAACACTGAGCCGACGGACTGACTCGAATGGTGATGGGCCTTCCTGACATCTAGGCTCCCGAAGTCCACATAGCGAGAGTCCCCGGACTTGGAAGACGACTTGTGTCGACCGGCCGAGCATGTGCTCAGAGCGCTGCTGCCCCTGCGGGCGTCTTCCAGGGCCCCAAAGCGGAGCATATCCGGGTCAAGGCAGGCCAGGTCTGCTGAGGAGGCCCAGCTTTTGTTTCTCTGATGGGGGTGTGAACGCTGGTTCACCTCCATGGGTCGGTCGCGCTGCTGCAGTTGTTGTTGTTGGCGTTGCTGGTACAGTTCGGCAGAGGATTCGGACCCAGCGTGGTACTCTGAAGGGGGGTACTGACTGAGACCCTCGTCCGCTCTGACAAGGTCCTGGATGGGAAGAGAGCCCATAGAGCGACTGAGTCTGCGGTTCAGGTTGGCCTGCTCCTGGGTTCGGGTTCTATAACGCTCCAGCACACGATGGGCGGCACTACGGCCTAATTGGGTGAAGAAGAAAAAAAACACAAAAAAGGGTTAAATATCAAGAACTTGCATTAGTATAACGATGCATGATCCATGTTCAGGAATTTGGTGATCAGGAAACATTTCTTATTATTAATGTTGAAAACAGCTGCACTGCTTAATATTTTTGTGAATACATAATATTTTTTAACATTACGCTAAAGACGAATGAATGAAAAATTTGCTTAATAATGTCAATTGGCTTTATTTTGTTTATGCAAAATATATTTTTTATGAAGCATGACTGGAACATTTTTATTTGGCTCGTTTCGTAAGATTCACCCGTCGTTTATTATTGTGCTATCAACTATTGGTCATTTTACATGTCTGAAAACAGGTGGTTCTTGGCCATAATAATCTACAATGTCCAGACTTTGCGACAGTGAAAAATTTGGCTATATAGGACTACAACCTAATTGGTAATTGGTAAATAATATAATATAAAAAAATATATACAAGATATTAAATATAATAGAAATAATTAAATATAAATAAAAAATAATTTACTCATACTGAAGCTTTTTATTTATTACTCTCTTTTTTTTTGGTCTTTTTGTCACTTTTTTTTTTTTAAACAGCATGGATAAAAGATCAGAAGAAGATTATCCCCTGCATAAACATTATGGCATGTTGCGACAACTGTTATGCTAATTAAGAACCATATAGTTGTTTATTTGCAGTGTCTGTTTTGTTGAAGCACATGATTCGCTCATGTACGGTGCAAACATGCTAAACATTACCTAAAAATAAGGCAGAAAATTACCATTAAACAATTGTGGCTAGTAATAGCGCAATGCTAACTGCATCAGTAGTGCTTTTACTTGCATAAAAAGGAGCTGCAAATGCTAATGAAGCATTAATAAAGTCTCAGAAGCTCTCAAAAACCACATAAGGACAACCACAATGAAATTCAAACATTTACACTCTTATTTTGACCAACCTGAAACCGATACGATGCAGCTGTGCTACAGTGCTGCTATGCATTTTCTTAAGACAAACTAAGCAGGATTAGCATTGCTGCAGGTCTACTCTCCAGAAGCTAATGCTAGTGTGAACACACGTATACCCTGAGAACGTCAACAAACATTCAATTTACGAAATGAGAACAATGACAAAGTCTGAGACCACAGTTATTACTTTACTGCTGAGGTTTCATGACATCTGTAAAGCCAAAAATAAACCAGCGTGAAGTGAGTCACCATCTAGGCAGGCTTGTTTTCTCACATTATGACCCCGATGCGTGGCCAGATACAACAGCATGAAAACCAAACGCCCTACAGAACACACAGTAAAAAATAAAAAAAAACCCTGGGAAATATCTATTACTGATCAATGCCATGCCTCAGTTACATAACCGTCCGGTCGTGTTTGTGCTGCAGCACCGCTGAAAACACTGGCAAGATTTGGTCATATTTTCCAAAATGAAACACTCTGGTTTTGGTTTGTGGTGATGTGCTTGTCTAGATTCGGTTCAAACTCTTGTCTACGCACAGAGAGAGGACGAGAAGGAGTGAGAGACAGACAGAAGATAGATGGAGAGCGAAAGCAACGAGGGAGTTGGAAAGTTGGGAGAGGAACAGAGAAGAAGGGGAGAGAAAAGATGACAAGAAAGGAGAAAAAAATGTTCTTTGTTTGGCACATCATTAAACTATAAAGCATATGAAGTCTGAAGGAGAGATGAAAAAAACAGACAGAGAGCGAAAGAGAAGGCCAAGAGAATGTTAGTGAAGACTTAAAACACAGCTAGAATAAAACTATGTTCAAAATTAGAACAACTGCCAACTGCATACTACACGGTATATACTGTATGCCCTTTTGAAATGAAATTGAAGGTCAAGTCAGTGAGTTACTTGCTGTGTCTTTGTAATTAACTTAGAAAGTTACAAGCAATATAAATTTTGTTAAAATAGTAAAAAAAAAATTTTAATTGTTTCTACACCAATTTTATTCCCCGTGTTTCATTCAAAAGTCGGTAAGATTTTTAAAATGTTTATGAAAAAAGGTTGTACTTTTTTAAAATAAAAAAATACAGTAAAATAACACTATTTTGTAGTATTATTTAATAATATATTACTTATATATCATATTTTGTTTATATGAATTTTCAGCATCATTATTCCAGTCTTCAGTGTCACATGATCCTTCAGAAATCATTCAAATATGCTGATTTGCTGCTCAAGAAGCATTTCTTATTAATTAATTATTATCAATTTTTCTCGAAACCATGAGACATTTTTTATTAAATCTTTCTAATCTTTCTTAATCTTTTATTACATCTATTTCTAATCTAATTATTTGAATTAGAAAGCTCAAAAAAATGTGTCCTTGCTTAATACATTTGTAAATTTCTTATATTTATTTATATATTTATTTATATATATATATATATATATATATATATATATATACATACACACACACACTTTGCTGTATGCAATAAGCAGTATGCTAGTATTTTTTAAAACATAGCATAAACAATCTGCACATTGTGACAATATCATAAAATAATTTGGGAAAACAAATTTCCCCAGAACCACTATTTATCTAAAAATAAAATAAATAAATATCACAAAATTCCCCAGAACTTTCTATCTGCAATCTTGAGATTATCTGGAAACCTCAGCACCACTCTTTAGTTTCAGATTGGCACTTCTAGAGCTGGTGCTGTTCTGGCTTGTCTCTTGTGGCAGGGAGGATCTTTTATCCTTCAGTTCTGATAAGCAGCAGCTCCTGAGGGGCCAAAGCCACGTCATGTCAGAACCAAGCCCTGCTCTGTTTACATTCTGAATCACTTCCTCTTAACTTGATCAATGTTGAGTGATGAGTCAGCATGAAGCGCAGCACTTCACAGAATTGAAGCAATCAGTCAGAGATTATAACAAAGCGAAGAAATCGTAAGATGTGATTACAATTAAAATATCATCATTTATTAACAGCAACTCCAAACGTGTGGTTGACGCAAAAGACAACTGGAAGATCAGGAGTGTGAGCGTGTACTGACATGTCTGTGTGTTTGCGTGTGCATGTGTGTGTGGGTGAAAGCAAGATAGAAGTAGAAAGCAAATGCTTACATGTTTAATAACGGAGGGATGAAACGCCATCTTCATTTTCCTATATAATAAGCAAAAGATGCCTTTTTACATAAGGCATCTGGTGTGTATTACCTGCTGGAAGGCCTTTTCCTCGCAGCCGTTCACGAATCTCTTTGCTTCTCCCTGGAAGTGACTCCCTTTCACTTTGAGACAACAGACCGTCCAGCTAAACAAACACATGCACAAAAATGAGAAAGTCAAAAATCAATCACTCTTTTTATCAAAGAACAAGATTAAAAGAAAGCAAAATATACGGAATTGTTTTCTCCTGTGAAATAGGTTATCATTTAAACACACACTGCCACTCGAAAGTTTAGGGTCAGTAAGATTTTAATTTTTTTTGAAAGAATGCAATACTTTTATTCCTTTATCATTTTTATGATTTATGATAATATGATTTCTATTTCAAATAAATGCTTCTATTTGCTTTTATTTCAATAATGTTCTTTTGAACTTTCTATTCAAAGAATAATAAAAAAAAAAATGTATCCATTTCCACAAAAATATTAAGCATACAACTATTTTCAACATGTCAGCACATTAAATCAGCACATTAAAATAATTTCTGAAGGATCATGTGACACTGAAGACTGGAGTAATGATGCTGAAAATTCAGCTTTGCATCACAGGAATAAATTACATTTTAAAATATATTAAAAAAGAAAACAGTTATTCTAAATTGTAGTAATATTTCCTATTATTACTGCTTTACTGTATTTTTGCTCAAATAAATGCAGCCTTAATGAGCATAAGAGACTACTTTCAAAAACATTAAAAATTCTTACAGATCCTAAACTTTTGAACGGTAGTTTACTTTATGAAATTTTCTCTACAAGGCACCCAGATTGTATAAGCTACAAAAATAAGATCAATTTTAAATAATAATAATAATTATTATTATTATTATTATTATATAATGGAAAGATGGGGAAAAATTCAAACAGACTTTACAAACTTTGGGGAAAAAATTAAATGGAGTGTTGAGGGGAAATGGATTTCATATCCTTAGAGGACTTAAAGAAAGCTTGGTCTAGACTGTTAAACCAAGTCGAAACATATTTTGAATAAAGTTTTTGCCTAAATCAGGTTTGCTGGAGGAAGAAAAACCAAACATAATGGAAGACTTGGGAAAATCTCAGGAGGGCTGCTCACAGGAAGAACAAACCCAAGCAGCCACTCACAGGATTAATCAACAGGAATTAGAAGACAGCATCCCTACTGGACCACTTAAACAATTGAAAAAGGCACACAGTGCAGAAAATGAGACCAGAAACACGTCTGTTCCTAGCAATATGCTCTTTCTGTATCGCTGTGCAATTAAACTACTGGGGAGTGTGCAGCTGAGGAACAGGATGTGACATCAAACACGAGAAAGACTGTTCACTACCTTTTTAATGTAAAGCTGTTTTATAGGGCTGGACTGAGCAGGCAATTCAGGTAATAGGAACAGTATGTTCACACATATTGTTAGTGCTGAATCATTAGTGCTTTGTGATCAACCAGGAAAAAAAAGGGTGGGGACTGAGAACTGGATATGGAGTAAAGCAAATAAATAAATAAAGCATAATATATAAAATAGGCTTTAAAACTTTAAGTAAAATACTGTGCTGCAACAGAAAACAATAACATATACTGTATTCTTAAACTCTTAGGTTTGAATCATTCTAACAACTCACTCATTCGCTGAAAGAATCAAAGTGGTTCTTTATTTAGTTGCTGAACCTTAAGTCATGACTTCTTAAATTCATAACTTGAAATGAACCGAAAATGGTTGAAACATTAACAAAATGTTGAAAGAAATATATAGACGTACCTGCGAGAGACTGCCAAGAACGAGTCTCACCAGCCTCCTGACGTAAGAAAACGAAGGGTCGCAGTCGGAGTTACGGATGTGAGCGCCGCAGGTGTCCAGAACCGAGCGTACGGACAGTCGGGTGAGCGTGGAATCATCACACATGTTGAGCAGGACGCGGTTCAGATGCTCTCCAAGTTTCATTGGCTAAAACACACATGTAGAGCTCAGTGAAAAGATAGTTTGCTGATAGAAAAGAAGTTGCTGAATCGTCTAGAATCTTTATTCGCCACAAGTCCTGGGCCGTATTCAGGGCCGGATTTACCTCTTTTCGTGACATAGGCAAAAAAAATTTTTTTCTTCCCTATTAATATAATAGGCCTAATATTACCACCCAAGCAAACAAAAATATTTCTTAACCAGTGAAACCGTTACAGTATTTTCTATCGCAATAAGCGCTTGTCCAAGTCAATAAAAATCGAATGTAGTTCTTAATTTGTTTGAGAACTGAGAAAGACCATTCCATTAATAGGCGCGGCGATGTGGCCACATAACCACTTCGGGAGTGCACTATTTCTCTAATAATTTTAACGGCCTGGAGTCACAATCACACATCAATTGTTCAGATGATTTGTTTCAAGATATTTAACATGTTTCTGTCCTGAAATCCTGGGTTTCAAGATATTTAACATGTTTCTGTCCTGAAATCTCGTGTGTGTTGAACTAGCTAATTTTAATCACCTCATCCCAAACCTTCAGTTGCAAATTCCAAAATGTCATTTTAGAGCTAATAACAGAGGCTTGAGCCATTGATATGCAGGCTAACGCAGTTACAGTCTAACGTTCGCGGGGCAGCGCTGACAACAAGTTTCTGGTCGTGTCTCCGCATGTGTGAGCGAGTGCGTGTGCGTCTGTGAGAGAGAACGGGAGAAAGAAAGCGTGATTTCCGTACATAAAATAGGTTGAAGACATGGAAATAGTTTGTCGATTTTACCCTATTGTTTGTTATATTTATTTGCTCAATGTCTTCTGGGGTTTTGGTTCTTTTACTGTTGTAGATATCCCATAGTATAACAAAAAATATTATATATCTCTTCATTGTGTTTGGGCCCCCCCTGGACGAGCGAGCATAGGCACGTGCCTAGAATGCCTATGCGTAAATCCGGCCCTGGCCGTATTAATTTATTTACCCAATTTAACATGATGTTGCAATGGTCCAGAAGAATAAAACAGTGGAGACTCAATTCTTACTTGATTAATATAGATAGAGGTTTTCATGTTTCTAAGCTAGCAATGTGATACTCTATAAAAAAGTAGAAAATACATAGTACATACATATATTGGGTTAAAATATCAATTTAATTTGTCTAGGAGGACTCACCTGGCTCTGAGGTATCTCATAGTCTGCACCCCAAAACAACGTCATGCCAAGTGAATACACGTGCATCTAGAAATTAAAAAGGAAACAGAAATGTGACAATGAAACATTTTAGCCCATGTTAACAGCCTCATTCTGACACATTTTCACACACAAACAAGCTTGTGTTGTCAGAAGCATTTGTCAGCCAGTAGTATGTTTTAGGCTTTAATCAGCATCAAACTTTATAGATAGCACATCTGCATAGTTTTGTGTTTCTTTCCTGTCTAGTTCTTCTGTCTGTTCATCCTGCTAAAGAATAGCTTTTGGAACAAAATATCCAAGAGTCTGCCAAAGAATGCACAAGATCATATGATTTCTCTGCAAATAATCATGTTTTGACTCTGCAGTGGTTTATCGGTCTCCCTCTGAGAAAGTCATGTTTACACAAAAGCATTCAAGCATACTGTCAAAATGTAAAATGTAAAATATAAAAGAAATGGTTGTGCAATAGAATCAAAGTCGTTTTTTTTTCACTTTTTGTCGACAGTGAAAAATAAAATAGTTTTAACTGAAGAGAAGTCATGGGGGGAAAAAACGAGATTTTTAAAAAGGAAACAAGAAGCCGAACAAAAGTCTTTCAAAATCCATAAGGTACCTTTTCCATATCAGAAAGTGAGGAGAGGTTGAGACCCTCCAGCACCTCTGGAGGAGTGAAAGCCCGCAGATCCTTCTGTGTGACATTTTCATCCGTGAAAGAGATGTTTCCGGAAGGCATGAGCAGCAGCGACCATGGAGAGATGATAAACCCCAACACAGACGGATCTGTCGAACCTGAGGAAAAACAAATGAATCTTTATCAAATTCTTAAAAATAAAATAAAATAAAATAAAAATAAATAAATTAAAAAAAAAATTTTTTTAATTAAATTAAATTAACGTGTCGAACCTGAGGAAAAACAAATGAATCTTTATCAAATTCTTAAAAATAAAATAAAATTAAATAAAAATAAATAAATAAAAAAAATTAAATTAAAAATTAAATTAAATTAAATTAAATTAAATTAAATTAAATTAAATTAAATTAAATTAAAGCAAGTTGTCCTTTTGTTGTCCTTTTGTTGAACGTCTTATGAAGTTCAGAAATAAAATGTTCCTTTGGCAAAATGTTCAAGTACATAGCAATAAAAAAAGAAAATTTTCCAACATTGGTTTTGTAAAGCGACACTTATGAAGAGAGGAAATTCTAAGACACTGCAAGTACTGATGCTTCAGCGTGGGAAAGTTACTAGACAAGTTAAGGGAGATTATGGCCTTGCCCTAAGAACATTTCCTCGACACGAGTACAGCGCAATCTGACTGCACACGTTTCAGGAACTATGGAGATTTGGTGGTGGAGAGCAAATTCTTTTCATCCAGACAAAGATATGTAATAAAGAGCTACATTATTCTGTGAATGAGAGCAATTTCCATGAAATACGAGGCCCCTGGGATCTCTCTCAAAAAGATGATTCTGTACGACAGTACATTTTTCTTTTTGATGTTTTTTTCCCCTCTTCTGCTGCAGATGTAAAACAATGGAGTCTTTGCCGTTCAAAACATGGCCCTGCGGTTATGGATGGAACAGCTGTAGAAAAATTAATCATTTATCACGAATGAAGATTCAGTGGAAATGTGGAATTGCTTTTGAGAAACTTATTTTTATAATTTCATGCCATGTAAAGCCAAAAACAAGAACAAAATCTCAAAATACCGCAACTGAAAATATATATTCTTATATTTTCTAAAGCAAATATGAGAGGTGCCAAGGTGTTAAGGGTCAGTAAGTTTATTTGTGAAAGAACTTAATATTTTTATTTGTCAAGGATGCACATTTTTCTTTTTGATGTTTTTTTCCCCTCTTCTGCTGCAGATGTAAAACAATGGAGTCTTTGCCGTTCAAAACATGGCCCTGCGGTTATGGATGGAACAGCTGTAGAAAAATTAATCATTTATCACGAATGAAGATTCAGTGGAAATGTGGAATTGCTTTTGAGAAACTTATTTTTATAATTTCATGCCATGTAAAGCCAAAAACAAGAACAAAATCTCAAAATACCGCAACTGAAAATATATATTCTTATATTTTCTAAAGCAAATATGAGAGGTGCCAAGGTGTTAAGGGTCAGTAAGTTTATTTGTGAAAGAACTTAATATTTTTATTTGTCAAGGATGCATTAAATTGATTAAAAATGACAGTAAAGACAATTACAATATTACAAAAAAGTCAATTTAACATAAAAGCTGCACAATAAATATTAAGCAGCACAACAGTTTTTAACATTGATAATAATAAGAAATGTTTCTTGAGCAGCAAGTCAACATATTAGTATGATTTCTGAAGGATCATGTGACACTGAAGACTGGAGTAATGATGCTGCCAAAAACAGGAATAAATTACATTTTAAAACATATTCAAATAGAAAACAATTATTTTAATTGTAATAATATTTCAAAATATTACTGTTTTATTGTATTTCTGATCAAATTAATGCAGCCTTGGTGAGCATAAGAAATTTAAAAACACACACACACACACACACACACACAACCCAAAACTATTGAAAAATAATGAAAGTCTATGGGGGATTGTTAGTAGTGGTATCATTTACGTCAGTAGGGGGGATGAGTTAAGCCTCTAATACTATATTTAGGGTTAGGGGTTTGTGTAAATAAACATATTAACAAAACAAATTGGCAGAAACATTATTAAAAAGTCAGAAAGTGTTTAAACTAAAAATAATGAAAAAATGAAATTCAAGCAGCGATGCCTTAAAGCACTGGAATTACCAAAGTAAACACACGTTTCCTGTGGAAACTGTCTAACCACGATTGGACCTCATTGTGAAAATCTAGCAGTGTACACTCATGTTTTGCCTCCAGCACAGTAGATACTCCAGAAAATATGTTCCCTGTCAACCTATACAGGTAACATACCTATCTTTGGCATTCACTGCAAACTATTGTTACTAAAAGCTGGAAATGTTGGCATGCTAAATCTCAGAGTCATCCAGATGTTAATGGGAGAGATGCTGATGCACAGTTGGAAATATCTCAGAACGGGCCTATCTGATAAAGTTTTATCTGTCCTATCGGAGACTAGTGCGGTCATCTACTGCAGTTCACGAGCCCAATGAGGTCACAGCCAAAAATAGCATCACAAACTCTACTAAGAAGGAGAAAAGAACATGAAATGAGATATATGAAAGCATGCCATAAATAACAAGCAGACTTCTTAGTATTACATAAAACAAAGTGTAAATACATGTTTACATCTGTAAATTTTTGTCTGTATCTGTTTTAGATGCTCAAGATTACTGCATAACCAAATGACCTAAATACCCATTTTAAAGCGCAGGACGTGGTGGAAACTTTTGAATTATTTATATCATGCTAAAAAAAATTAAAATATGACTTTCGCTTAAAGCAATATGCCTACACATTAAAAAAAAAAAATCATGAAAGTTTTTGATGAGTATCACCTGGGGCAATACAGATAAAAAAATACATTAAAAAAATTATATATATATATATAATATATATATAAAAGCAATATGCCTACACATAAAAAAAAAAAAATCATGAAAGTTTTTGACGAGTATCACCTGGGGCAATACAGATAAAAAAATACATTAAAAAAAATTATATATATATATAATATATATATATTTACAAGTGAAACTGCAAATATTTACAATATTATAAATACAAACAAACAAATCATTAAGTATTATTTTTATGTATTTTATATAATCATATATTTTCAATCATTTTCAATCATATATTATTTCACTCAGAAATTTGAGAAAAAGTAAATGTCGTTTTTATTTTCAAATATTATTTTTTGTTTACTTTTAAAAAAAATAAATAAATAAATAACATTTAATTCAATGTGAAAGACTGACATAATATTTTCTTGTAAAACATGAACCAGTAATTTGTTTTATTTACAGCTTCGAAATATAATTTTTTTTACAATGTAGTACTGCATATATATTTTTATTTCTAAAGTTGTAAATCTCACCGTTTTATTATTAAATCAACCCTTCTACACATTGGACTGCGATAGGAAAAGTTTTTTTGTAATTAAAAAAACCAAACATCACCTTCAAATTAAAACGGCATGCTCTAAAAAAGCAAGCTCAGGACTTCTCACATCTAAGTGCTCAGGGTTTCCAAACAAATTAAGTAACTTCACTGACTTGCTCAAGTCATGTCCCATGACTCTCATTCAGGGCCCAGAATTTCTGCAAACTCTGTCAAAAGGGACCTTTGCCAGCAAGTTTTCACCCAGAGCAACTCAAGGCCAGATAACAAGCTACTGTGAGACGAGGAGAGTCCTCGTTCCCCCTGCGAGCGCATGCCGGAGCGGCTACATCATCTTTATCATCATCGTCCTCCTCGACCCTGAAGACAAGGGGCCTAATTACGTTACAAGCCCTACTGGCTATCGGCCAGGTCTGCTGAATAAAGGGGGCAACAACTGTCTGCGATGCTGACAGAACAAGAATTGTCCATGACTGTGAGAAAGACTTGTCGAGAGTCTCAAGATCTGTGCGGGGACGGCAGCAGATATCAGTCGAGAGGAGCTTGGCATCATCTCAATTGCCGCAAACTGCCCAGCAAACTGCTCTTTAGGAAACCGGGCTGCGGGACAATAAAGAGGCTTTTGTTCACAGCGGTGACTCACAACACTAGCCCACACAGTCATTCAGAGAGACAGCAGACGGACATAAGGCTGAGTAAGCCTTCTCATATATTTCACCAAAGTGTTACCCTTCCCTTCAGAGACAGAAAACGAGGATAGAAAGCTTTTCTGCATGGGCTCACTTCTTTGAATAAGACTGATAGCTGCTATTTTTGGTATGCTGACAGCTTTTGAGGAGGCCGGAGATTTATTCTAATCACTCTCAAACAGGTGTGAATCGGCGGAGGACAATGCTAAACGAGCGCATACTGACTGAATAACCACATTACAAAAGAGTCCTGCTGAATGTACTGATAACATCACGGCTGAAGCTTGTAATGGCTTTGAATTGTTTGTAAGAAAGGGACAATACCAAAACAATATTTAAAGACATTTTGTGTGGTAACTGCATGGGAAGTGTGACATAGCTGTGGTCTGAGGGAAAACATTTTTTCATTGAAGCAGTCGCAGGGAATTCACATAAAGACAGATATGACCTCAGTTTCTTGTTTTTCCTTTCAAACAATCCCTGCCAGTTTAGCTTCCAAAAGCGCACTACAATAACTAAGGTTTCCACCAAAATGCCAAACTTATTCTGGTTATTGCTACAATAGAACTATGCTAACCTTGTATTAGCCACAGTCATCCAAAATAGGCTAAATGACAGATTTGTACAATTACAACAAGAGATTTCACTACAAATGACTGCATTTTTTAATTTTTCTGAGTGGTTCTTGTCTGTGTGGTTGCTGAAGAGTTTAGCTTGATTTTGGTGAATTTCTATGTGGTTGATACGGTTTTCCTAATGTTTAGCGCACTGCTATGCAGTTGCTAAAGTGTTTCAACTGTTTTTAAGCAAGTTGCTAGCAAGATTGCTAAAGTGTTCTTTATGTTTAACACATGCAGTTGCTAAAGTGTCGACTGTTTTCAACAAATTGCTAAGGTGTTTTAGCGAATTGCTATGTGGTCGCTAAGGTGTTCTGAGTGTTTTCCCTTACAAAAATTAACCATGGTTTTATTACAGTAAAACTGTAGAAACCATGTTTTTTAGTTTTTTGGCGTATTGATTACCATTTGTATAACCACAGTTTTACTACAAATACCATGGTTAAACTATGGTTAGTGTAGCAAAACCATGGTTAATTTGTGGTTACCATGGTTTAACTATAGCAACCATGGTTTTTTGGTTTTATTTGTAGTAAAACCAGTTCATTTTTGTAAGGATTAATGCATTGTTCCAAATTATTTTGTGCATTGCTTTGTAGTTGCTAAGGTGTTCTGTGTTTTAGCACAATGCTATGCAATTGCAAAATTGTTCTGTGCTTTAGCGCATTGCTAGGTGATTTTTTTAAGAGTTGTGAGTGTTTTAGTGCATTGCTATGCAGTCGCTAAGGTGTTCTTAGTGCACTCCTCTAGTAGTAAGTAATATATAATAGGCATTCTGGTGGAAATTATGGCCACCATGGTAAATTTTTGCATTTGTCATACACCAGCACAAGGTTAGCGCATGAAATTCCTCTACTGAAAGTCAACAGGCTAACTGTAGGGCCCAAATGAAAGCGATACTGGATACCTTCAGAAATGTCAGACTGGGACATTCTGTACATTAACAAGCTTTAATGACAAGATGGAATACAATCAGGAAAGAACTACAAAAATTCAAGTTAAAGAGAACCAAAAATGCTACAGGCTGACCAAACCAGAGAAACCAGGTGAACGAGGAAAAATTCAGACAGAAAGAGAGCGGAAAGTATTAGAGAATCAAAAGAGGAACCGAAAAGCAGAGACAGTGAGATGTCCTTTGCTCGTTTTTATGTTTTTTTTAAATTAAATAAGTATAATAATAACATTACATATAAACAGATAAAAATATAAAATGAATATAAAAAATAAATATAGGAGCCTGATAAAAATGCTAATTTTAGAAGAAAATTTCAGACGGATCAAAAGAGGAACCGAAAAGCAGAGACAGTGAGATGTCCTTTGCTCGTTTTTATGTTTTTTTTAAATTAAATAAGTATAAATAAATATTATAAATATTATTACAAATAATATCATTTATAACCAAAATTCTTTTCATTCTTTTTGTCTGCCATTTTCGTTGCATTTGTTTTTTTAACTGATCTTCTTGCAGTGCATTGTGTGCATTGTGGGATTTCCTTTGCAATGCTGCAAAATTTGGCCAAATGAAGAAATCTACTTTTTGAAACAACCTTCACATCAGGAGCATGACAATGAAGCCTTAAAATGTTGCCTATGTAGGAGGCAGCTCACAGGTTTCAGAACAGAGCCTCATACTCCTTCAGGTTTGAATGACTGGTATTTACACTGCATTCATGTAACCTCATGGCTTACACTGTAACCAAAGGAAGCCGGATAGTCAGTTTCATTTGCAAAAACTCTGCATATTTGGAGCAGATTACTGAATACTTTGGAAATGTTCAATCAACAAATGTTCTTCTGCACTCCAAAGACATCAGACTGCTATCCAAGGTCTCTGATTGCCTCGGCCATCCCAAGGCCTGAAGTTCTGAGCCAGCGTGGCTGGGCACCCTTGAGAGATGTGGGAGTAATCACTGCGCTACAAGCCAGCATGCCGGTTTACCTCTGCGGAGGAGTTCATGCAGGCTCTCTGCGCTCTGGTTCAGGACGGCCCAGACCTCCTCCTCCTGCAGCGGCCCTCCTCTCACCTGCAGCGCCTCAGCTAGAGACACATGCATGCTGCCTGTGGGGTCACAAACACAGCAATGTTAATCTTACAATCATTATCACTGTACATACTACATTTACAAGTGCTCTCTGCACATCTATGAAGATTTTAAATTCTGAAGAACCCAAAGGCAACCCTTCTTTTTTAAACGTATACACTGAAAAAAAAAAATTGAAGCTGTAAATAAAACAAAGATTACTGGAGTCCTTACTTATACTGGAGTACGTAAGTATGCATGTATGCATGTATTTATGTATTTATTTATTTATGGCAATTTTATTTTCATGCTGACTTTAAGGGATAGTTCACCCAAAAATTTAAATTGTGTCAATTTATTTACGCTCAGGTCATTCCAAACCCATGTATCTATAGTTTATATACAACACATCATATAAAGCAGTCGTATCTCTTCACAAGATCTGAATTCAACCGCTTGATTTATTTGGACTCATTTCACAATGCCTTTATAAACTTTTTGGATCTTGTAAGTTTTGGTTACCTGGACTTTGGAGGGACAGAAAGCTCTAAGCTTTCAACAAAAAAAAATATATTTTTTGTGTTTCAAAGATGAGCAAAATCTAATGGGTTTGGAACATGGTCTCTTTAAAGAAACAGCAGCACATTTAACTTCTAATATGCCATATTTCCGAAGGTAACATAATATTTGTTTAGAAATAATGTAGGGTAAGACCCGATTTTATCCATTAAGATTTTAATGGAATGTTTGAATGGAACTAGGTTATGAATACATGAATACTGGTATAAGAATTTATATTATAGACATTTGTTGCCATTAGTACCGCAGAAATGATATACTTCACATTTAAGAACAGAAATGGATGTAGAAAAAGAATCAACAAGGTATCATTCATCCTCTCTCCTGAAGCATGTCATAATGTCATGCTGTTGACCTCAGGAGGCTCAATCATATGTTTGTCACAGCGAGATCTTTACAGAATACCACACAACCTACTTGGAAATAGGTGAGGAAAAACCTGCGATTCATTTCATTTTAAATACAATTCTGAAACGACAAACACTCCTGAAATTGTCCAGCTGATCCAAACGGTCCAACATTCGCCATAACGTCATAACAAAACAAGCGAACCCGTTCATGTCCCGTCAGGTCTAATTGTCAGGGTGGGGTCAGTTACACTCCTTGCAGTGAAATTGTTCTTTATTATGTCCATACCTCTGCACTGCTGCCACAGCTGTAGTTACAAAGAGCAGTAAACCCCGGGAAATCCCAGCATGCTGTGAGGCAAGAGAGACAGGTGAAGCTCAGGGTTTAAGGGATTACTTTTGAGCGGGCATTACATGGGGCTACCTAAATACTCATGTGTCACATTTCAATTGAACTGTGGAGTCAGACTTTTCAGTTAGGCCATGGCACATCAGATGGGAGTGTCATCAGGGCAAATGTGTGACTTCTGTCAAGTTTGGAGATCATAAACAACTTTTTGTCATTTGTCATATATATATATATATATATCTCAGTGGTGGGCCGTCAGGGCCAGCAAAGCCTTCTCTGCTGGCCTAAACACTATCAGAATCACTGATTTAGTTTAATATATTTTTCCATGAATGTGTATTAAATTATTTCCAATAGTCTATTCTCTTAATTTCATAGCTTTTCTCTTGGTTGCACTGCTTCCAGCAGTGTATGTTTATATTAGAGCTTTTATCCAATCATATTTCAGCAATCGTGTTGCCAGGGTCAAAGAAATCTGCCTTAAGGCCTTCAGAATCAACATTGAAGGCGTCTGTTAGCTTAAAACAATGGCAATGAAACTGTTGCTTTAACCAATCAGATTTCGAGTTGGCAACACCAGGGCCATCTAGCTGACTAACGATAACGTCAGCATTTTCTCCTCCTTTGATTGGATGGTCATAGACCAAAACCAATCAAGAATGCACTCAAATGGAAGCTGATTGCCACGTCTTTATTTAAGATACTCAAGGCCCCAGCAGCGAGAGCGGGTCATTTCACATAAGAAACAGAATGCGCCACAGATAAGCTCATATTTATGCAGGAATGCTCACTGGGGATGAAAGACTCTCTGAAAGAGGGATATGAGGGGAGGAAAGTGAGCTCCAGACCCCTCCCGTACGCCTCATTAGCCCTTACTGAGAGGGGCTGTCATATGCAGATTGTTTTCCTCGGCTTTTGTTATTCCAACGCAGCCTGCGAGTGGAATGTTTGCCCCGTCTCTCAGGGTGCTGCAGAGCACTGGGTCATTCCCACCGGTACGTTCAGCCACAGGGGAACAGGACAGAACAAGTATAAGAATATGGGTTATATTCAGTCCAGTGAGCAAAGCCAAGGTCATGGGTTCGATTCCCATGGAATGCATGAATCGATAAAATGCAAAAAAAGGATAAAAGCTTGGATAAAAAAAGTTACAGTCAAATGCATAAAATTTGGAACAGGAAACTACCTAAGCTGTACTGAGTACTTTGCACAGTATGCAAATTTTCAGTTTGCATTGAATACTCCCATGACAAGGAATACTTGAATTTGATTTCCCTTCAAAGAAATATTCCTGGTTTAGTACAGGTTAAGCTCAATTGACAACACTTAACCTCTACTTGTCTCTTATTTTCTATAAAAAAAAACTGATCTACAATGACGCGCTGGGAAACATTAAAATAAACACTGTTTCAACAGTACAGTCTCAAGATATTCATGTGAACCAGTGTTATTTTAATATCACTGAGATACTATTGCAGTTTTTAATCAATATTTTGAATCAGTTTGTTTTTATATTTTCCGATTTAATTTTAATTTTAGTAATTTGGTTGTGAGCTTTTGTCATTTTATTTTATTAACGACTAGCTGAATTATATTTTATATATTTTTTTATTTTCATTTTAATATATTTCAGGTAAAGTTTATTTTATTTCAAAACAAAACAAATGTTAATTTTATGATTTTAGCTTTTAGTTAACTACAATAACCCTGATAAATAACACGTTTTTGTAAAAAAAACAAAAAAAACACTGATGTTACTAGCCATCTTTGCGTAAAGCAAATTTTATCCAATTTTACAACTTCATTGCCACAACACCATAAACCCCAAAAAGACTGTACAAATGATTTAAACAGCTTCACTGCTAATTTATTTACAGAAGAATGAATGTAAAAGCTTTTATAAAATTATAAGCTTCACATTTCTGTCTTTAAATCTTCTAGGGGTGCTCCGATAAGGATTTTTGAGGCCGATCACCAATCACCGATCACAAAAAGCAGTATCTGCCGATACCGATCACCGATACCGATCTTTTTAAAGCCTTCTTTTTATCATTTATAACTATATATAGTGATACACCAATCAGGATTTTTAGACATTTATTCAGGGCCTGAATTTCATTTTTGAAAAGGGGGGAATTCTCCTCTTAGGTGACTCTTGTGAGAGGAGAAGCAGCTTTCACACAGGAGTCCGCTACTGATCAGTGGCTATTTACCACAAACACAACACTTATCCATTAGTTTGATTTCAAATCCAAACATTGTCACTGAAAATGCTTTTTCAGCATTGCAATTCTTTTTTTACACAGTACAGTAATACAATCTTTCACAGACATGTTTAAACACAATAAATATAAGCAACACATTATTCAATGC